CACCCAGTTCCTTCCTCAACACTAACCTATCCTTTACTACTCCAATCACAATGAACATTAAGCTTGACTGGGGTAGAAGGCTGGATGTCCAATGAACACCCCTTATGAATCTGATGAAAGCTACAGACTCTGGCTTTGTCAAATTGTGCATCTGAGGTGCAACAAGGCTATCTAAATAATTTTACAGACTTGTGAGACCCCTAAAACCTTCCCTTGAGCCGATATTGAGAATGCACGGTATAAAAATGACAGAGTGTGTGAACTTAGGACAGGTGGGAGAATGGCAGACAGGACCAAAGGAAGCACAGAAACACCTGCTAGAGGGTGAGAGGCGGGGGCAGGTGAAGAAGAGGCAGGGATTCCCGAACTGGGCATAGGACCGTGAGGCGTCACACGTCACACTCTCACTGCAAAGAGCTCACTAGATCTTTACAGAACTCATTCGACAAACAGAACAGTGGTTATGTGTGTCCCCTTCACTTTAAAAACAAGGAAATTGGGGCTGGGGATTTAGCTCAGTGGCAAAGCGCTTGCCTGGCAAGCGCAAGGTCGTGAGTTCGGTTCCTGATACCGGAGAAAAACCAAAAAAAATTTAAAAATAAAAAATAAAAAAAAATAAAGACAAGGAAACTATGATCTGAATTAGTTGCATCAGTTGTCCAGGGTCAAATACTAGCACATTGCAGAACCAAGACCAAGGCTCAAATCCTTGGGTTATTCTACGACAAACTGTTAAAGGCAACTAAGTTAGATAAAATATTAGAGGCACTCAGGTAGGGCTGGGCCCTTGAGGGAGCCAGTGCAGAAGACGAGAACCGTGGGAAAAACAGGCTCCTCCGCTGAGGGCCAGACCTCAAGATAAAAGATGAAACAAATGCAGCCACACACTTCCTAAGGATAAACATCAGGGACTGATATTCTAAACAGGTCTCTATCACCTGGAGAAAGCCAGGAAGAGCCACTAACCCAACCCCCTACAGGAAAAGTCCCTGTTCTGTATTCATGTCCGCTTGCTATGTGACTCACTTCTGCATCTGATCCTGATTTGATCAATTTTACCTGAGCAATTACACTTGTAATCTTACTGGCTGCCCACAGTTTTGTTCCACCTTGGGATTTCCCATTTTTCCCACCTCGGACCCCCCTCATGTGGTAGATTTGCTCTATAAAAATCCCTAGAAAAGGCAGGGTCCTTGGCAACCTACGCAGGTCCCCTTCTGTCCCTCTCTCGGACAGAAGCTTTCTTTCCCCCAATAAATATATTCTGCTCTTAACCCCCACTGTTCCTAAAATTCATTCTTCGATTTCAGAGAACACGAACTTGTACCAGACATCTAGCAGGTTGGGAGTTTCTTTCCTCAATATCAAAACCATTGGCTTCTAAACAGAGGAAGAATTGAGGGAAGACAAAAGAAAGGAGGAAAGAGAAAGAAGGGGACTGGGTGAGGACAACAACAAGAGAAAAACGAGAAAGAAGAGCACAGAGGGAACCTAAGGTAAAGTAAGGACTGCCTGTCATCTTAGCCGTCAAAAATAACTCTACTCCAAGTTCTAGCTGGTTATGAAAAGAGATAGAAAACTATCCGCTCAAACCTCAAGCCTAGAAGATCCCTTGGACACCCATTCAGACTGCAAAAAGAGCAAAGAAAATACTACGGTGGGAAGAGACCAGGGCCAACATCACAAGCCCCCAGAGGAGGAGGGTGACTGGGGAATGAGCCTCCCACGTCTACCCTCATTAGTACAGGAGCCAAAAGTGAGAGAGGGATGCTTACGATTACTGTTTCTAAAACTTAAACAGAATAGCAATCCTTTCATCTGGTGTGAATCTTGACTTTTTTTAAGTGGAGTTAAAAACCTGTTGGGGTTGAAATTAATTTGCAAACATGACTTTATTAGCATTTGTTTCTCTTCACACAAAACAAGAGATGTTTAAATTGTTACCCATGGAAACTGTAAGAGGGCTTAAGCTCCAATGGGTTGATTTTGTGTCAAAAAAAAAAGAGAACATTCCCACAGAGTAGCCTCAAGCCTAAAGGGAAAGGCTTGCTTTACTTTAAAGCAAAAATCCACCAAGAAGCGCCAAAGGGAACAACGTTCCCTACACAACCTCTGAAAGTGAAACTGACTCTATCAGGAGTTCCACTGGACACATCAGGGGCCTCAAAGAAGTTTGTGAAAAGCAAATCTGCCCAGTCCTCACCCCTCTCCACGGGCTACCACTCCCCAGATGCATGGGAAGGCAGAGTGCATCGGAGTGCAGGCCCCGGCTGCGAATGTAACGAAACCTTCAGGGCTGAATCTAGGACCTTTCTGGCAAAAAGAAGGGCACCAGCACATCCCAGATTCTGGGTGCCCCACCCGAGTCACCCAAGTCCTTTCAGAAAAGCACAAAAGACGGTGCTGAGGACTTGCTGGGCCCCACAGCAGCCAAGCAAAGGAAAGGTAGATGAGGTTGAAGAGAGGCACTCTCTCCCCCAAAGAGGAGTCTTCTACAAAAGTAGAAAGTCAGAGGTGAGGAAAGAACCCTTCATCACAGACAAAGACATCTGGGGACAGTAGCAGTGCTACGGTTTAAATGTTCATACCTGTGCATCCTCATGTAGGATGAATGTGTGCCGACAAAACACAAAGGGCGAGCAGCCAGAAGGAAGGACCAGCAGTAACAGCACGGTAGGGAAGTGGTACCCAGAGGCAACGTAATGGCTTTGCACCCTCTTTCCCTATACACTGACACCTGCTGCACCAGAGTCTCCAGAGGTGGAGATCAGAACTGAAAGACAAATTTCTTCATTCGCCCATTTTTTCTTATGCCCCTGAGAGTCAGACTCTAGACCTCATTTTCCATAGACATAGAAACTTATATAACCCCGGGGCAATCTGTCTACAGGTAAAATAAATGACTGTGAAAGCTTTTTGGGTCCTTTGCGTGAAATGTGTCAGAGTGTGTTTGAAAGCTATTTCCTCTTACTGGCCTTGCGAACTGCATTCACCCTTAAACGTTCAGAACTACGGCCATCTGAAAACACTTCTGCCTAGCACCGAGAAAGCCAATTTAAAAAACTGTCCAGTGGGCAGAGAAAGCCCTCCTGAGGGAGGAAACACCGAGAAGGAACACTGGAGCTGGTGCGGCCCGACCAGTAATGAGCAATTTAAGGATTTGGTGGCACCCTTGCTGTAGCGTTTCATTTCTAACAATAAATGTCACCGAGCACATGTGGTCCCAAAAGACACTTGTGTTTGAAACAGGCTTCTCCTGAGCAGCTGAGAGCAGAGCATCATGAGCACAACTGGAATCTACTAAGCGATACAAGTAGATTTGTTAAAATACAGATGGATCAATACGTACCAGTTTTAAATAGGGACAAAATTTTGGGGGGCTTCGTTTTCTATTCTTTGTGCAGAAATACTGAGTTGCAGAGCGGGACCAGAGTAGAAAGAAGAGCTACTCTCACAATGGGGTTTTTACAGATAAAGCAACTGAAATGGCTTCCTTGAGAAAGGTGTCATAACACACTGAGATCTCACCTCTACCTGGCTCAATTCCAGCCTCTAAGCAAGCTCCTCACAGAAGCATTCCTTAGAAAGTGGTCCGCTCTTACAGTGCTGCCTGGGCTGTTATTATTATACAGGCCCTGTAGTTAGAACGGGCAGACAATTCAACCTGTGCCAACCTCAAGGACTCCAAGCACCGAAGAAGATGGTGGAGATTAGCTAGTCTGGCTTCCTCAATTTACAGAGGAAACAAAGTAAACCCAGAAAAGTAAAGCAGGCAGCCCAGAGTTCTACATTAGGTGCAAGTAAGTTTCTCCGCAGCAGCACCACTGCTCTAGTACTAGGGACCGCGTGGGTGTGGGGCTGCCATCTACCCACAAGGTGCTCCACAGCACCCCTGGTGAGTAGCCGTCTCCTCCTCCCAGTCATAATGTAAATGAGTGTCTCTGGACATTGTCACATGTTCTCAGGGAGCGGGTGGGGAGGACGAAACTCTTCCAATTGCGAGCCACTAGGCTCGAAATTGATATGAAAGGAAGTCAACTCCCTCTGGCTTCCAGCTTGGTGCACATGAGTACTTGCTTCCAAATAAATATTGTGGGACTAGGGAGAAGTGATTAATGCATTAAGCCAACACTAGTGCTTATGTCAAATGATTTACTAACAAGCTCTTTAAAAATCTTACAAATACAAATTAACTGCATTTACTCCTCTATGTGTACCTGACATAAATGTAAAAACATATTAGCATGTAGATATACCTGAGGTAAAGCTATAAAACAATGCATCTCATTTTGCCTTGGGTAAAACACAATAATGTCATGTTAAAATATAGTTCTGGTGGAATTTCGCTACAAATGATAAACTTCGCTACCAGCCTTAAATTCACTATACAGTGTATCTACATATAGAATTATATGAAAGAAAAAGAAAAAAGGGGGCCTGGGGATATAGTTCAGCATCACAGCACCTGCCTGGCAAGTACAAGGTCCTGAGTTCGATTCTCAGTACAAAAAAAAAAAAAGAAAAAGAAAAAGAAAGGACTTTCCTGTCAAGTTGTTTAATCATCTCATTCTAAAGATGGAAACTCAGTTAATCCCAGCACTCAGGAGGCTGAGGCAGGAGGACCATTGCAAGTTTAAGATCAGCCTGGGCTACAAAGTGAGCTCAAGGCCAGCCTGAACTGCATAGCGAGACCCTGTCTCAAAAAGACAAAAAAAAAAAAAAGAAAGAAAGAAACTCAGTTAAAGAAGCTGAGGTTCCCTAACCTAGTGCTTCAAAACAGGGCCAGATTCCTCTGCAACAGATAAGAAAACCAGCTGGGGATATAGCTCAGTGGCATAAACACCTGCCTGGTAAGCACAAGGTCCTGAGTTCTATTCCCAGTACCAAAAAAAAAAAAAAAAAAAGGCAGATAAGAAAACCAGGTTTACAAACACATGGACACGCAGCTTCTATTACCAATGGCAGCCTCTGATTTCAGGGTTACAATATTTAGACATTACCTGTTTCTCTTCTTCCGGTGCTCTCTGTTAGAATTTTCCGATTCGCTACCACTGCTGGTGTTACAGCGTGAGCGTGACCTGAAGACCAAAAGCAAAGCAAAGCAAAAGACCTGCGTTTATAACACATTATAGAAAGGTTCGTTTGGTTCTTTGGAATTAATTTTGCAGTGAAATTACTAATCCAAACATAAAGACCCACATTATCCCCCTCCTGGGCAGAGTTTCTGAACTCAGACATCTGAATAAGCCTCCAGCGCAGGGCAACAGCAAAGCAGGGCAAGATGAAAGCGGATTAAGGCAAATGTCATTATGCTCCCAGAGAGAACCACAAAAACCAACCGCTTTCAACAAAACTCCCACATGGCAGGGCTGTGAGTCCTGGTGGTGGACTAAATGTGGAAAAAAGTCTTGTTTCCCTCCCCTCTTCTCCCCTAAGTAGAGATGTACAACAGATTTCCTCTGTCCTTGAACTTATGCTTGTCCTTTGACTGGATGTACCAATAGAATTAGGTGTGTGGTATCCTCTGCCAGTTCCAGGACTGATGGCTCCTGCTTCCTCCCTGTGACCGCCTAAAGAAGCCTGGCTAGCAACAGGGAGAATCGGGTAGAGAGGTCCCAGGCCTTCAGCCACTCTGCACAGATCCCTGGGCAACAAAGCCTCACCTGCCATCTGACCACAGCCTCATGTGCGACGTGGGCAAGGCTAGACAAGGAGCCGTAACGCGATATGCGCGTGTACCAGGCACCAGCTCCCACAGCAGACATACTCGTCATGCACCACGAACATGTACTCATAAACATTCAGATATTTTTAAAAACAGCCAGGCATGGTGGCCCACGCCTGTAATCCCAGCCCTTGGCAGGTTGAGGCAGGAGGATCGCTGCGAATTTGAGGCAAGCTTGGACTACACAGTGAGTTCAAAGCCAGCATAGTGAGACCCTGCCTCAAAAAACAAAAACAAAACAGAAGTGACCAAAACCGGAACTTTCCGTCCAATCAACAGAATTATACTATATGTGTGTGTTTATACATACATATACACCCATATGGTATGTATGTATATATATTTTATGCCACCAAGTTTTAGAACATTTTATAATATAGTAGATAAATCAGCTCCTCTGAGAAACAAAGGAGCAGGAAAAAACAAGAGAAATGTCGAAGGATGGGAGACTAAGAACAAGCTAAAACCAAAATTGGTTTTTTTGGGGAAAAAAGGACTTATAATATAGCATCCTTTCAGCAGTCATAAAAATCCTCCCGAAGTCCTCACCCCTCCCTTAACTCTGAGCACTGCTAATCTGCCGGTCCCTCCCCACTTTCCCTGACTCTCTTCCCGTTCTGTCTGTTTTTCTTTTACCTCCTCCTTTGCTTTAGATCTGAGTCTTCACCACTATTATGGGCTTTCCTGTGGAAAACAAAAGAAGACGTTGAAGAATGAAATAGTATAGCTGGCTACGAGAGGCACAGCAAAGCAAGTTCCACTGCAGAGAATTCCCATCTGTTAATGCATCTGTTCATTCACCACACACTCAAGTTGTACATGTATGCCCTACGACAGGTCCCAGAGGGGCATGCCACCAACCGGTCTTGAGGTCTTCAGAAGCCAGCAAGCACCCTAAGGGGCTGCAGAGTGTAAATAACAACATACAAGTTGTCTGTTGAACACGTTTATCCAACAATGGGGTTAGTCCGCAGTCTCTAGGTCTACAGTCCTCCAAGTGGGCTCCTGCAGTGCTCTAACGGAATATGAACCCCATCTCCTCTGCTGATACGGTGTATAGTTCAAACACACTGCTTTTCTACATAGTGCCTTGGTCTTAATGGAATCACCCACCAAGTGCTGTTATGACAAACAAATGAATGAATATAATTAAAATGCAAAGTAGGACCTGAGCCACTATGAGCGCTGAATAAATAAAAGCTGTTATTACTGCTACCTCCTCAACTACCCTCACGCTGCCCACTCTATCCACTAGGGCTGCCTACTGACCTTACTACTTCTACCAGCTTTTCACCTTTCTGTTACTCAGCTTAGATTTCCTAGTGCATCATTTCAATTACACACATGCCAATACCCAACACTTCCCCAACACCGCTTTTCATTCAATCTTTTATTTTTTGGAGTAACTGTACACACAGGTGAATCCAATAACCCAGGTTCCCCGGGCCAGCTCCAAATAGCTGGCTAAGCAACACTGGAAGAACAGCAAGAGCACACTAGATACGCTACAAACCCACATTCATAACCCTCCAGAGGGGCCCCACCACGGCTCAGTGACCTCTGCAGCTTTGTCTAGACTGACTACTTTGCTTCTGCAAAGCAGTATTCACTTTCTCTCTGGCAACTCTGTGGCACATGGCAGCTCTACTTCAGGACAGGACTTTGCTTTCTCCTTCCAAAGGACATAGAATGGAACTCCTTCATCTTCTTGCTAACAAAAATTAAAACTTAGCAACATCTTCCTGTTACCTATGGATCTATCCTAACAAGTACGGTCAGCGCCTCCTCCTGTGCCACCCAGCCCAGGCACCTTGTGTCTTCTCAGTGACGTCATTAACCTCGCACCCACCTCTCACATATACTCAGCTGCCACCTGGCGAGCTCCTTCCGCCAGATTTTAACATTCTCAAGTCTTTACACGATACACATCTCCCTTGGCTCCACATCCCCTCTCTTTTGCCCACCCTGTCCTCTTTCATTCAAAGCCAAACATCTTAAGAGAGATGTCTAAGGCCCTTGCTTTATTTCCTGCCCACTACCCCACTCTGACCAGGGTAGACGTGGCTCTCTTATGCCACCACCCTGGCTTATGCCCTCCTGCTGCCCCCAGTACAGTTGCATCTAACAGTGTAACACTGACATGTGGTCCCGTCCTTATGTCAAATTTTTGGGTAATGATTCAATATACACAACAAGGTATATTGTTCACAGATGATCTAAACTGCATTCCAGGGATGCAATTCTATTCTTCTGCAGGTACGTGAACCACTTGCTTAGTTTACCTTTGATTATCAGTAATTCTTCGCCCACACTCTCCAAGGGAACTGCCTGATTCCTCCTGATTCAGACAGATAGCCAGCTAAGCACAGGTCCACTTGCATCCTCCACAGTTCCTCAGCCCTCACGCTCAGAATTGCACCAAGCTTGCTGCACACAGGTTGCTCTGCTTCACCACTCTCTAGGGAATTCCTTTTGATTCTCTATCATAGATCCCATATTTCTAGATATTAGGACTCCTTGTTTTGGTTTTTGTGGAGTGCATCTTCCTGTATGCAAACAGAACATCTCCATAGCAGGTACAAAGTATGGCTGAAATATATGGTAATGTTTAAATTTTTAAAAATTCATTGCAGGCCAGGTGTGGTGGCATATGCCGCTAATCTCAGCACTTAGGAGGCTGAGGCAGAAGGACTGCCATGATTCTGAGGCCAGCCTGGACTCTAAAGTGAGTTCGAGGCCAGCCTGAAGTACACAGCAAGACCCTGTTTCAACACTCCTCCCAAAATTTATTACTGTAAAACACACACGGCCATGAATCCCCCTCAAAATATCCCCCCTCTCTTGGAACATGCTTATCCCATCGTTCTGGCCACTTTCTGCAGCAGTTTGGGAAGTGGCTGCCAGGTGTGATGAGAACATGGTGAATGCCACCGCTACGTCACTTCTCAGCACAGGCAGACCTGCAGAAATACCATGGCAGGTCCTCCTCTGCCTTATTCACCAGGCCTGGCATTGTTTAACTTCTGCCTCTTCCCCAAGGAAAAGTGATCACAAAAGGTAAATGTTTCAAATCGACTCAGGACATCGAAGCAGCTGTGACAGCAAAATTAAAGGCTCATAAAGAAAGACTTCAAGAAGTGCCCCAGAAAATAGTGAGAAAGACGGGCTAAGCATGTTTCCTGCAAGGGGGAGGGCGATGGGGGGAGGGCCGATGGCAATGCATCCTTTTGTAATAATTTTTTAAAATGTAAGTATTTACTGTATTTTTCAACCATACCTCACACATATTCTATCACCTGAAATTTCTGAAAATGTCTTTCTTGTACACATGTAATTATACTTTTATCTGCGCATATAATCCTAAATTGAAAATCGTCTTTCATATTTTAAGGCAACGCTATCTTCCCTTTTTCTCTGATATTGCTATTAGTATCTTCTTCTACATTTTCACTGTTCTTTTTTCCTTCAGAATTTTATTAACTGAATGTTCGATACCTAGGTTCAATAATTTTATCATCCTCATTTACATATATCTTGTTTTGTGTGAGTTGTACTTTTGAGAAGATTTCCTTAATTTTGTCTTCCCAAGTGGACACTGATTATTTAAATTCTGCCATGTACTTTAAACTCTAAGAATTCTTATTCACTGACTTTGTATGTCGGGGTAGGGGGGGGGTACTGGGGATCAAACCCAGGGCCTCTTGCAGTGAACTACATCTATTCCTGCCTCCTCCCTGTTTTAGACAGGTCCCTGTAAGTTGCCCAAACTTCCGATCCTCCTGCCTCAACCTCCTACTGTGCTGAAATTACAGCCCTGTGCTACCACGTGGGGCAGTATCTGTGCTTTTTTTACAGTGGGATTTTTCTAACCTCATGACTAGGAGATAAAAGACTGGTTTCTAGCATTCTGAAAATAAAGAAAGAGGGTCAAAGATAAAATAAAGCAACATAAAGATCCATACGAAAAGCAGATTTTTATTTATTTATTTTTTTTACTATCTTGATTTTTCCTATGGCCACAATTTCTTTGCCTCCTTTACCCACTAATCCCTTGAAGTAAGTCACTGAATGCTGGAGTTTCTCACAGCTCTGTCACGGGCTTGGTCTTTGTAGTCTATCTAGACTATATGGCCAACGAGCTTCCTCTCTGCTTCATAAATCAATTAAATCCTTAATTCTAACTAAGGATAATTGATATTTCAATCCAAACAGTCTAGCTCCCGATTTATGATCCAAGAACCCAAGTGAATCTCAGACTTCCAAGGTACCACACACTCAACATATCAGAAACTCAACACCTCTGTCCCTTTCAAACCTACAGAGTGTCCTGATGATTCTTAATCATTTCTCATGAACTCATGAATCGGTACAAGCCCAGGTTTCATTCTTGCTAGCTGCCTGACCTCCACCTCTCATACTGATCCTCTCAGTCCTACTGAATCTTTTCGCCTGCTGGTTCAGAACATCACCACTTCCTCTTCTCTCCACATCACCATCGTGTCCACGTCCCCATTCTCCCCAGCTACGGCTCCTATGACAACCAACTGCCTGCCCTCTCCCTTTCCAATATTACACTTTACCCATCTCTCCACAGGACAGTGAGGGTCATCTTCACAAACAGGAATGAAATCAAGTTGTTATACTCTTGTACAAAAACTATCGATCTAAGGAAAAACACCAAACCAGGCCCAGGTAGGTGTAATGTTTGGCCCCATTTTCCTCTCTAGGCTCATTTCTAGCACATGTCGGTTCACTCTCAGCGCTTAAGCAGTACTGGCTTTTTCTCTGCATGGATGCTCCCCACCCCCTTCTAGCTCTCTACCTGCCATGCTCTTTCTCTTCTCTTTGCTCCATTCATCTCAGATCCCAGCTCACAGCCTCAGGAAACCTCTGCCCACACCCCTTACTCAGCAACCTAGCAAATGTCCCCTACTTGCACGAGTTATACAGATGTCCAGTTTGTTAGTCTACCAGACAGTGAGTTACACTTATGACTTGGATACTTCTCAGTACGCATGCTGGGCTTCAATTTTAAAAGGTTTTTTAAACTCCCCTAAGACCAGATAAATCATCTTTATATAACATATCAAAGTTATAATTACACATGTATTTATGTGATTCATGTACTTCTAATAGCCTGTGAGCTCCCCAAGGACAGGGACTTTGTATAGTTTTGTTGAGCATACTGCCTGACACATAGAAGGCACAAAATAAACATTTCTGAGTGTAAAGATGGAAGCTGAGAGGTATAACTATATTCTACTGCCAGAAAGCATTGTGGTGTTTTTTTCCTTAGAAAAGAAGTATTTAAACAACCAAGTTTCAGGGTACTAATAAACCCTGAAAATTATATGCAAATGTTTATGCATATTTAATTATGTGCCCTTTTTTGGTTGGAGTGAACCTAACATTTTGTCAGACTCTCAGAGGGTTCTATTACCTGACAAAATTATGCAGGACTGTTCCACACTCAGCCAGAATTTGATAGGTTATATTTGTCCCATGACAAACTGGCAAAAATAAGAACTTTTGATGCCTTCTGCACATGTTTATCCTGGTAACCAAAGCAAAACAGAATTTCCTATTATTAAATTTAAATCCTTGGGATTCTTCTATCCTGATGGCAAATCTCAGTTTTAAATGCCAGAGCTAATTCAGCTATGTAGAGATTTGTGCAGGGGGCACAGTGAATGTGTATGAAGATAAAGCCAGACTGACAAGGACAAGGAAAGTTATAGAGCATTCGTAGCTGAAGAGACAGAATAATGCATGTAGCCCTTGTATGTCAACAGAGAGCAATGACTGGCCGTCTCAAAATGAACACGCCCAACAAGAGACCTTTAAGTGACACACAGAACAGACAGAATACTCTATGCTCACTCAGGCAAAAAGATTCTCTTCCCAGTAAATTAAGACAGTCTTTCCCCGGGACTAGGGGAGTGAAAGGGTCTTGTATCCACTCTCCACAATTATTTCTCTGTTTCACAGGAAGCCAGCAGAAAATGTACCTCACTGTAGGAGTCATTAAGTCCAGACTGGGAGATATACGTACTCTGAACAATTTCAAGCAATTAGTTTGGCAAAACATAATATAAATTTTGGCATATTTTAGCACAACTTTATTTTCAAATGTATTAAAATCAAAATGACTATCTGCTTAACGTGTGATAATTTATTTAAAGAGTGCTAAAAAACTACACTAAAGTTACAAAAATCTACTATAGTCTCAGCCAAATCCTCTTTACCACTTATACCCCCTCAGCACAGACACACACACATTTCCACAATATGCTGCCTTGGTTTTAAGTGTTTCCCAGGCTGAACCAGCCCTTGGCATCCCAAGGAGAAAGCTCAATGAAGGCCCGAGTAGAGTCTTTAAATGAGAGCTCATGATCCTCTTTTTCTGACTTCCATTTCTCTCACCCTCAGTTTCCTGAACTGTAAAAGTGAAATGATAATGCTGGCCAAGTATTCTTCACTGAAAGTCAGTCCCGTCTTGCCCCGACTTAACCCCCTCTTCCCTGCCGAGTCTGGAAGCCTGAACACTGTGTTCCTGGGTTCCCTTGCCGGCTGCATTCCAGAGGAAAAACCTGAAGGTAGCAGAGGAGCAGAAGTGACTTTACTTCTGGTAGCAACTGTGGCCCCGACGCCGACATTCCTGAGAAGCAGGAGGTCCGCAGCGCGAGCACACTGGGCGCCTGCAGAAGAGGCACCGGCAGCGGTTGCTGCCCAGCATCTGCGGCGGGGCCCACAGCAGCACAGGCTCAGCGCGAAGGTGGAAGTAGCTTCAGTCTCTGGGTAACGCTGCCCTCTGTGTTCCCAGGCTGACAGTAGCGACAGCCACTAGATTTCTTGGTAATAATACTCTGCTTCCTGTGTCCTAAATCCCCGCTCATCTTTGCATCAATCCTTGCCTAATCCCTGTCCGCCGGAAATGCCAAGTCCATTATCAGGATCGAGATAATACACTGCAAAGAGTGCTCAGGCCTTGCCGCACAGATGGCAACTCTGCACAGTTCTAGCCAGCCATCGGTGGCCCTAATCTGAGCATCCTCTTCTCCGTCCCGCGAGGTGAAGGGGAGGTAGACGCTTTATAACTACTAAAGGGTTTCAGCGAAGCTGGACCCAAACTGGAAAATGGTAGGGAGCGACTCGGAAACCCACACAATTAGAAGGCAGCAAGTGAGGAAGGTTCCAAGTGCAAGTATAAAGAGGACAGTGAGACGGGGAGGGCTCTGCCTCCGAACGCACATGCACAGAGAAGGTCCTGATGGTTCTCTCATATTAGAATCTAGACATTTTATAATTATAAAAGTCACTTCTAAATACCAATTATATGGGCAGCCAAAGTAAGACTCAGTTCTTATGATGTAGGAGTGCGAGGAATTTCACCCCTAAGCCATCTCTGCATCTTCCTTTATTGTACCTGTCACGCTGCCCAGCCTGCTTTGCAGAGTTCAAAGCTTCTAGATAAAGACATTTTTGAAAACTAGGCACACGCACAAGATAAAAGCAGATATGCACGCCAACCTGCTACGGAGAGTATAACAGGATTCCCTTCTTCCTGGCTGTGAAAGGGGTTTCCCTTATGTTTATTTAACAGTATCAGTCTGGGGGACAGAGCACCCAGGCTCAGCTGAGAATATTTACCCTTAAATGTAGTTTTATCTTCCCAGGGAGAAATATTAAATATATACTATGTCATACATGTACTATACATATTGTTAACACACATTATTCATAATATGTATTTTTAACGTATCAATTAAGACACAGAAAGCAAGTTCAAATCAATGTATTTTCTATAATCTTTAAAATTCTGGCTGTCTCAGATGAAAAGTGCTTCAGGAGCTCGAGCTTCTTCTATCTTGAGGAGACAAACAATAATGGTATTACGGGAATCACCTGTTACAAAAGTGTGCATGGGCCCCAAAGCGTCCATTGGAAACTGCAAATGCAATGCCATGTTCACTCAGCTTACCTTCTCCTCACTGGCTGCACAGAGTCGTTGTCGCTTCCACAGGAGGGGTTTCGGCGACGCGTGTAAGGGAACTTTGGTGATTTAGTGCGGTCATTGGGAGAGTTGTAGAGTCCGCTGGAGTGTAAGAGGAATGGCCAACATGTCAACTTGGAAGTTTTTACAAGAACTATGACACAGGAAAATTATCATTAATGTATCATTGAGAGAGTTTGCAGAAATAAACCATCACAATGACCTTTCGGGTGGTAATAAGTTTTCTCTTACATCTTTCCAAGAAAAAGACTCATGTTAAGAAACATACAACTGACTTCCACTTCAGAAATGCCCCCAGTCCAGCTGCTTCAGGAATTACCCTAAACCACTGCCAGCTGTGGGGTTCCTTTATTCAGTGCATTACACTAGTAATGCTATTTACTAGTGTTTCTAGTAAAGAGAACCCCTCTGCTATTCCTCTGCTGCAAAACACAATGATTCCCTTTACCTCTGGGGGCCATTTTCTTCCCATGGTGCATGAGATTTGCTTCTTTGGGTATCAGGACTGTTTTCACTCTTTGCTTTTTTAAAGCTTTAATTAAAAAAGAAAATAAATTAATTAAGTAGAAAATAAAAGAAAGCTTACTCACATATTGTTGTGTTCAGTAAAATTCTTTAACAACTGAGGTGCGTGGGGGTGTGCCGATATGGGTTGTATTTTAGATCTGTAACTCGTTCCACATGAAGTGGCTTCCAGCAAATACCTCTGGGCCTCCTCCCTCTTCTAGGTTTATTGCTCTAAGTCAACGGAAGCCAAGTATGTAGATTCCTAAGACACTTTTCAGACACTGCTCAGTTTTCGCATAGGAAGCAAGTGCGATCACGGAATCCAGGAAGAAAGCAGGGCGAGGTGAAGGAAACGCGCCTCCTCCTTCCAACAGTGTCAGAGATTCCTTGGCTACAGACTTGGGTCTGAATCAGTGGCACCCTGTCAGCTCTGGGCAGGCTCAGGCTTCCCGGCATGACCTTTCCTCAACTTCCGCTCTACCTTGGCTTCCTCCTTCCAGATCAGAGTGACTTTCAAATGCTATTTCCTGAACTAGGATCATCTTTCTGTCCTAAGAATGTAAGTATAACTGAGTTGTTATTCAATCCCAACAAATTGTTTGTGAAACACACGGAGACACAGGGGGGGACTCAGCAGAGGCCCTCAGTCACCTGCGGGGCGACAGAGAGCGGCCCGCTCACTTCCTCAGGAGGCTTAGCAGCTGAGAAACAGAGCTACTTAACTCCTAATCCACTTAGGAGGCCTGGCTTTTTGCGGGGTCATCCATATAAGCTGTCCAAGAATACAGCTGCAGCAGAGTTCTTGATGGCCCACAAAACCCACAAAAAGGAGAAAGGAAAAATGACAAGGTCATTTCCAAAGATAAATTTGGATTGTATTGTAGAGTATGGTATCCATATAGGAATTAATATATGCCTATAAAATGATACACCTGACAAAGGCATATATCTCAGTCTTACTAGAGGGTAGTATATTTCATATATAAACATGTTACTTTGATAAAGGCTCAAAAATCTTCTGAAGATCAAATTTCCAAAATAGAATCTCACCTTCTGAAAAGAGGAAACATAGAGATAATGCAACAGTAGAAAGTGTGTGTGTTTAATAAGTCAGAAAGAAATGGCCAGAGTGAGAAATAGGGAGGTGAAAGAGAAATTGAGAGAGGAGATAGGTGTTAAAAAATAGAGCTCAGGTAGTAGGTTACTTGCGTTTTCTCTCCTCAAGCTATTTTCCATCTAGAGCCTGAGTGGGAATTCAGCGACCCTTCAGGTACCATCAGCAGAAATGTGCTGCAAAGGGGAAGGTGCTCTTGCATATTCTAAAAGGCTTGGGATACGAATTTCATGGAAGATTACTGTGCTTAGGTCGGATATACCAGAAGCATACTGTACACATGCAGATGAAGCTGGGTCTATCCACACTGGGACACTGACTCAGGGAAACACAGTAAATGAAAGTATTCAAAGGTAAAGAACTTGTCATTCCAAAAAGAGAATATGTCAGGAAGATGTCCTAGAAATATAAGAAAAAAAGAATGTAGGCAGCAAAACCCTTGGGGAAACACAACTCTTAGAATCCTCATATCTTACAATTATTTTGCTGAGGACTTAGAAACTATATTCCTCAAAGTAGCCACAGTGCAGTGGAATGAACACACCATCATTTACTAACAAAAGACACCAGATGACCTGAGAAGTCTTTGCAGGGCACATATCTGATTGCTTAGATTTCTCTATGCGGCACATGGGGCAACCTCTGTAGAAAAAGGGAGCCTATGAAAGCTGCTCATTGTATGTCTAAAATGCTGTTCCGTGAACATAATTAAAGACAGAAAAAAATGACTCTGAAACAGTGTCTTAACAGAGAACAAGGCTGATCTTTCAGGGAAACAATCCGTGTAATATATGAAGCGGTTTTTCCGCTGGGGAATGCCGCCGGGAAAATTGATGCGGAGGACCATGACAACCCTTCGTGCATATGCAATCATTGACTGAGGAGGCTCTGACACCCCCAAATGCTATAAATCCTCTTCCCGGGACCACAGTTCAGTGCACCACTGTAATGAACACAGTACATTAAACATAAATATCACCTACTTTATTTCACAGGCCCCACTGAGTCTATTATATCACACCATTTTTAAAAAACCACATGGAATGTTCACTTTGCTGCTGAGAATACAGACCACAGATGATCTGTGCGTTCACCGTGCTGTGGCAGGGAGAGCACTTTCTTCCATGAGAGAGGCAGGTCCTGAGGTTTTATATTTCCCTGGCTTTTTAAATATTCTTTGGGCCAGAGATTACCTATTGGAACCCAGGGATCAAAAACATTAGTCCCTTATCTAAGTGAAAGGATTCTTAATGTTGCCAATGGGAAAAACCGTGTTTACGACAGTACAGCATTCTGTGCTTCTTCAGTTAACTACACTGACCTTTTTACTGGTGAAGGTGCGATAATTTTAGTTGTTCCCTCATTTTCTCCGTTTTCCATGTTCGCCGTTACCCGGTTTATGCTGTTTGAACCTAGTAGGAAACACGGGGAAGAAAAGATGGCAGAGAGAAGGAGATATTGATAAGGAAAACACAAAGAAGCAGAAATATTTTAAACGCAACTGCAGAGACACTGTCGCACATTTTACCAATTGATTATAACTCCAAACAGACAATGAACCATCCAGCAGGCCTGAGGTACTCTTTTCTGATATGCATTAAACCCTTAAGCCCTCAACACAACAACGTTCCATGGAGCTGGGGTAGGACCTTTCGAAACTTTTGGAGCTACCTAAGTCTCCACAGACGCTCTAAAAGTGAGCATATCCTAGCACCACGCATTATAACACAAGACATAACAATCAACTCTCGATAACTATGTTGTGAAGATGTTTCTCGGCATGCCACAACAACCCCCATACAAAATTAAACTGAACAACAACAAAAACTTCAAACCTGAAATTATCCCAACTCATAATACAAATGGCCCAACACAAAAAAAAGTGTAATATAAATGCAGTCTGTATCACTCACATACAAAATAGATTTTTTTGTTTTTGTTTTTGTTTTTGTTTTTCCTTCCGGTACCAGGAATCAAACTCACAACCTTGCGCTTGCCAGGCAGGCGCTGTGCCGCTGAGCTAAATCCCCAGCCCCAGAATAAATTTTTTAAAAGTGGTTTTTACACAAAGATCCCCCAAAACTGAAAAACTAAATTCTTAAAAGCTCTTATACCATAGACTTGCACATATGCTAGATGGACCAGCAGAGGGAGCCCGCCACAGACGCAAGGTGGGAAATCTTGATCGGGATAATAATAAGGGAGACACTGTCTTGGAGCTTTGCATCCTGTTCTGGGCCAGAAGCTGATAAGCTTGCAGGAGTGAGATGCGTGGGTTGTAGGGAGAACTCTTCTCCAGCACACACCCACCCTACTCTAAGAGGAAGCTGTCTGATAAGCAGAGGAAACAGCCACCATGGACACCCATGGCTTCGTTCAGTTACGTGTATATGGCATGCAAGTATGGCTTCCTCAGAACTCCTCTTACAGGAGTAGGTTTATAGCTAGAGTCTTTGGATCTAAAACATACTCATCACTAAACCTGGAGGGCTTGAATCCCAAAGTTGGCAATCTAATAAAAGTTAATGTTTATTGAGCACTTATTCTGTGTCAGTTACTACTGCAAGCACTTCACATGCATTTACTCATGTAAACCTCAAAATAATCCCATGAAGTAAATACGCATTTCCAAAGTTGGGCTCTATATCCCAGGGGCCTATAGCTCACAGGGTCGGGACCAGCTTTGGCTCCAGAGACTTAGCACTCAGTTACCCCAATGGTGCTTTCCATCTGTCACCAAGAATGCCTCACAACAGCTCAGGGTAAACTAAGGGTTAAGTGGGAAAGACAGACTCTTCGGGGGACAAGTGCAAGTGATTACTAAGAAAGGGAATGTTTGACACCAAAACCAAGAAGCATCCTTTCTCTCCCGGGCAAGCAGGACTGAAAGAGAAGAGGAACATCTGAACACCCCCAAAGTTGGCAATCTCCTTCCACGGTGGCCTGGAGGCATGTTTGGCTCTCCATTAGGAAAGATAAATATTAACAAGTATAACTCACACAAATAAATAACAATGCTTTCAAATAAGAGTTCCAAAACCATCATTCTAAGGACTATAACATGGAATCAACATCTGAACTTTGTTTCTGCTTTGGAACCCTGTGCCGGAGCCAATACCAATAACTGCATGACATCCTGAACACAGGCATCCGGAAAAGCAACGGTGAGGTAAGTCTAACTCGGTGTAATAAACGGGGAGAACTCGTTCCCTTGAACAACTCCATGTGTATCAAACCTCAGCAGTGTCATTGTCTAAGGCACTTTTGCCACAACCACAAGACCACTAACAAAATCACAAAGGCAAGCTCTCAAAACTGCAAGGATGCTGGGTGTGGTGGTGCATGCCTGTAATCCCAGTACTTGGGAGGCTGAGGCAGGAGGATCACTGCGAGTTTGAGACCAGCCTGGGCTACAAAGTGAACTCAAGGCCAGCCTGAACTGCATTTCTATCTTTCTAGCCTAAGCGGAGGACACATTAGAAGGAGAAATAACCAGAGCCAATAACATTAATGGAAAAAATCTGAGTAAAGGTGAACACCATGTTGTGACCACAGTTCTGTGTAAGCAGCTTAAGAATAAACCGAGGTTTGCGCCAACTCTCATCTCTTCAGACCAACTCCTCTTTCTTTGTCTCACAACCAGTCACTGCGGGGAAAGTAATACTGCCTAACCATTTCCATCTAGCTTTGTTCCAACCCAGTCTGAAACCTGATAAACTGAGTCGGGCACAGTGGCACATGCCTCTAATCCCTTCACTCTGGGAGGCTGAGGCAAAAGGATTGCAAGCTGGAGCCCAGCCTGGGGAGTTTAGTGATTTAGGGAGACCCAGTCTCAAAATATAAAATAAAAAAGTCCTGGGCAGGTAACTCAGTGAAAAGGCCCTGAATTCAATCCCAATAGTACCAAAAACAAAAATTTTTTTAAAATAAATAGGTAGACAATAAAACTAAACAACAGGACCCGGGACAGCAGCAGGTGATGCGGAGTCTGAGATCTACCCCTCCGTCCTCCACTGGCGGGACTCAGGGCTTGCGGGAATGCCAGCGACACCGGAGGGCCCGGCTAAGGCGCACAGGATGGACAGGCGGGACCAGAGGTGTGGAAAGGTCTCGTACAAAGGGGATACTATGACCAACAGGTGGTACGTTCGGAGAAGCGGGGCTGTGCTTGGGCAGGGGGGGTCGCCCCCCTTCTCCTTTCTTATATATTTTTTTTCTTTTCTAAACAACTGGGGAGAACTCCAGCCACAGAGAACTAACCCCGTTCCCCAAATCCAGACACAAAGATCAGACCCAAACCCAGCACAAATCCACCTGCAATCTTGGCTAGAGTACACACTTCTAGGATCCAACCTGGACCTACCACAGAACTATAGCGAGGAGAGGAATTTCACTGCTTTCACGTTTCTGTGTCTGATGGGTTTCCCTCGTGGCATTTGGCTGGGCTAGTGCTCTGTTTTGTTTTTCATTTCGTTTTTGTTGTTTGTTTCTTTGTTTTCTCTTTCTTCTCTCTTTTTCTCTCTGCTCTGTTTGTTTTTCTTTCTGTATGTTATTGTTTCAGTGTGTTTTAGATTCTTTTTTTTTTTTTTCGCTTTTTTCCTTCTATTTCTTTCCTTCCTTCTTTTCTCTCTTGTTCATGATTTCGAACTCTCACCTTCCTTTCCGTTTCAGTCTACTCATCCCCTTTCTCTTTTTCATCAACTAACTCGCTTGACTTTATGAAGCATGTGAGTAAACATGAAAGCATGTGAGTAAACACTGTTTCTTCTCTTTCTGGTTCACCTCAAAACTCCTAGGCATTCTATTCCAATCCTGTCCTGCTGTGTCCTACAACTACCCAGAATCTGGACAATCAGCCTGTGCCCTCCAACACTGCCCCTACTGTATTTAACCTCATTCACCTCTCCATCCTACTACCCCTCATCCCTCTTGAAACCACCCCCTACCGAAACACAACAGAGTAAAATCACTCCACTAAGTGGAAAATCATGGTATGCAAGCTCCTGATATAAGTTGGATTATATTATATATCTGTAGAACTTCTTCCTATGGTTGTAGATATCAGGCTAATAGTTATCACAGTTTGTCAGTAGTCAGGCTGTACTTGAGTCTATTGTTACTAATTTCACCAGGATTTCACTATAAATTAGTGAACTACTTTAACCAGGATGTCATACATGCTATAACAAGTCCCCCCCACCAATATGACAACACTGCAATTATAAGGGGTCATAACCATCACTATAGTCCAGTTCCAAAGGAATGGGCCCTAAGTCAAATAGATAGCAACTCCTCCTTCTTAATATATTGGGAAGGCAGGTTCTTGGGCTACACATAAAGACAAAGAAACACCTACATCTAGAAGACATCCAGAGGAACTGACATCTCCTAGGAAAGCCTTGACACCAGTGATAAGGCTGTCTAACACAACAAATCTACAAGCATCAACATTTAAAAAACCAGAAAATAGAAAATGACAAGACAAAGAAGCAAAATGCAACCCCACATGCCCAGCCCATGCAAGTCCAGAGCACAAAGACACAGAGGAAACTGGAAGCCAACAAATGGAACTCTGTGATATGATAGCAGCAGAAGTGAAAGAAACAAATGCAATAGGCCACAGAAAAGATAATCTCTAAGGTATAAAAAGAAATGACAATCAAAATGAAGACACTGCAGGGTGTGGTGGTGCACGCCTGTAATCCCAGCATTTGGGAGGCTGAAGCAGGAGGACTGCTGCAAGTTTGAGTCCAGCCTGGGCTACAAAGTGAGTTCAAGGCCAGCCTGAACTGCATAGTGAAACCTTGTCTCAAAACGACAAAAACAAAATGAAGACATTAAGACAGAAACATATAAACAAACACACAACATGCTGAAACTTATGAGACACAATGAAAGCAGTCCTACCAGGAAATTTACAGTGATGAACTCACATATCAGAAAAACAGAGTAAGCTCAAATAAACAACCTAATGTTGAACCTCAAACTTCTAGGAAAAGAAGAAGAAACAAAACCCAAAGCTTGTAGAAGGAAGGAAATTACAAAGAGCAGAAATTAATGCAATAGAGACTAAGAAAACAATGCAAAGAATCAATGAATAAAAAAGTTAGCTTTTTGAAAGAATAAATAGAACTGATAAACCATTAGCCAATCTCATCAAAAAGAGGAAAGAAAAAACACAAATTCAAGGAATGAGGAGTGAAAAGGCGGAAGTCACAATGAAGCCCACAGAAATCCAGGAGATCATCAATACCTACTATGAGAACCTACATTGTAATACGATGGAAAACACAGAAGAAACGGATAGATTCCCAGACACAATCAAATTGCAAAAACTAAATCAAGAAGATACAAAAATTCTAAATAACCCATTATCAATGAAATTGAAAATGTACTTAAAAATTTATCAACA